TCCGGCCCATGGCAGGGGGTGGGACTGGGTGGGCTTTTAGGTCCCGTCCCACCCAAACCATTCTGTGAGTCTATGTTGTAGCTGAGTATTAGTGAATGTTAGGAAAATCTCACCAGCACGAAAAAAGAAGCTAACAGAGTGTAGTAAGAACCACGCCGAACGCACAGAAACACAGGACTGCCAGGCACAATCTGGAAGGAAAAGGATTCTGCTCTTCCATGGATGACGTTGAGCCTGTTTGATGCTTTTGTTATGATGACCTACCTACTGCCAGCAGAGCTGATGGAATCAGGACACTTTCCCTTTCTTTTCCAAAAACGTAAGTTAATCCAGACTGAGATACGAGTCAGCACTATTCTCTTACCCTTCTATCACAACAATCGTAAAACCAGAGCGAGAGCAAAGAAATGAAGGAATTCAGCAGGGTTCTTACAGTGTCACTGTCGCTTGGTTGGAACTGGAAGGGCTGGGGTTTGTGAAACACGGTGTTCTCCTGTAAGAACAGCTGCAGATTGTAATCCCGCACCACCTGAGAAAATAACAAATGCCGTTTACACCCGGAATGTGGTAAACCGGAAAACACGCCGCGGCACAATCAGTACGATACTGCAGAGACAGAACCTTGAACGCAACGAAAGGGAATACAGGACCTGCTGCTGGGCAGCCCTGGTTATTCAGAAGCCACTGGTAGGACACACACAGGACAAAGAGCTAAAAAATCCCTGCCATGAACCATAAAAAAAAAACCCACAAAGGAAAAATGGGGAAAAAAGCGCCAACTATTGAGTAGACAGCATGTGGTGTCACTACCATAAATACTTCTCTCTCCTCTTGTGGATAATTTCTTATACATGGCTCTTTCTTAAGCTGAAATGTCTTATTTTTACACAGATCATTAGCTGCAGGACCTGAAAAGACTATTTGGAGCAATGCATACAAAATCAGCTGCAAAGTTCATCTCTTTATATTCAATCCCTTGCAGAGAAAACTCTCATAGTTTGCATTTTGCTAAACCAAACCTACTCCAGCTAAATTTGTTTAATGATGCATTTCAGAGAGCATGACACGTATCCCTAAACCAATTCCTTACATCACAATTTACACATATTTATGAAGAACAACTCAGTGATTGCAATAAGAAACATTAGTATCGCGGGTTGAAGAACTCTGGAGAGTATTCACTGCTTCAATTGATGAAAATTCATAAATAGCAGCATGAAATTCTAAAAATCTACTACAAAACTGAGGGTTTAAACATACAGAAGTGTATAATAAAGACGGTATTTATCCAGAAATAGCAGCAGCGTTGTTTACAACCAAGAATTCTGATTACACTGTATGTACAATGGTACAACATGCTCTCTAATGTACCAAAATGTTGATGCTTGTGTTACTGAAATACTGAACTGTAAAAAATTAATCTTCACTTAAAGAAAGTAAATAGTCCTCCAGGGCCAATAATGCACTCATTTAAAACAGTAAAGAACATAATTACTGCACCAATTTGAGCGGTTGAACATAAACACATTCAAATGGGTAGAAAACATACAGAGAAGGCAGACAGGGAGTCTGCACCAGGAATTCCCATAAACAGAAATTTGGAAAATACTAAAGGAGGAATCATCTGCAGCTTCAGATGATGCTCAGCGCTGACCACGGCATCGAGACCGTCCTGTTAAGCAGCTCCAGGCTTCAGACAGTCCTTAGAGCCTCACCCAGAGTGCTGTGTCCAGCTCTGGGCTCCTCAGCGCAAGAGGGACCAGGAGCTACTGGAGAGGGTCCAGCACAGGGCCACGACGAGGATGAAGGGCCTGGAGCACCTTCCCCATGAGGAAAGGCTGAGAGAGCTGGGGCTGTTCAGCTGGAGAAGAGGAGGCTGAGGGGGGATCTTATCAATGCTTATCAGTATCTGAAGGGTGGGTGTCAGGGGGATGGGGCCAGGCTCTTCCCAGTGGTGCCCAGTGACAGGACGAGGGGCAGTGGCCATAAACTGGGAAGCAGAAGGTTCAGCCTGACCATGAGGAAACCCTTCTTCCCTGTGAGGGTGACAGAGCCCTGAACAGGCTGCCCAGGGAGGTGGTGGAGTCTCCTTCCCTGGAGACTTTCCAAAGCCCCTGGACTTGTTCCTGTGTGATCTACTCTGGGGGATCCTGCTCTGGCAGGGGGGTTGCACTAGATGAGCTCTAGAGGTCCCTTCCAACCCCCATCACCCAGTGAAGCTGTGATACATGTGAACACTGACCCCAGCACACAACATAAGACGTTTATGATGTACAAATGTAACACGACCCTTGCCCTCAAGATCAGAAGGATATAGACTGGCCGGAGCGAGTCCAGAGGAGAAC